GACAAAAGTTTACTCTCATTGAGAGCTTTAAAACAAAAAAAATATTGGACACAGTCTGAGTCGGGTGTGAAGAGTTCCACTTTCTCTGATTGGAAATCATACTCTGAGAAAAACGATAAACAAATTTAGAAATGGAGTTTTGTTTTATTCGAATTTGAAAACAAAAGGTGTACATATAAAATCAGCTATTCTTTATAAATTGTACAGCTTTTTACGCTGCATCTTCTGCTATATTTTTGTCTCGAAAAACATGATAGTAGAGCCCCAAGCTTCTTTGAGAGACTTCAGCGCATCTTGCTATGATAAAATCTCAAATTCGACTTTTTTCGAAAAAATTGATTTTTGTAAGGGGACTCCCTTAACTGAATCTTAAGACAGTCACATACAGATTGATAAAACACATCACTCGATTGATAGCGCAGTCGAATACGATCAAAAAATTGCAAGCAGCACAATTGTCTTGAATACGTGTCAATTTATAATCGATAAGTCGAGAAAATTTGTTAATATGTAGATTTGAGGCATTGGGAAAAAAAATATTTTATTATACATCGGGCTTGTTGTATTGCGTTTCCTTTATTTTCGACTACGTTATACGTTATTAGAGTTCCAGACAGATCTTACACTTAGATAGGGCAAAGATGGTCACGCCGCTAGTTGCGACCATGATGATTCATCACGATAGAACGCAATGTTAACTGATGCACCAAAACAATAAAGCTCAAGTGTCTCAATGAACGCTATCAATGTAAATAGTACAAATATTTTTGAGAGTTGGCAACCTCATAAAAATTCTGTGTGTGTCTCAAGAAGTTTACTGAATATTGGTTGATGATAATCAAAATAATGAATGATATGCAGTCTCCTTCAATTTTTACGGCTAGTTAGAGACAGTTGTGTGTGGACTTGAGTGGAGTCCCAGGATTATAACAATGACTACCTGAAATTCTTATATTTTTTCTTGTTCTACTTGTTTTTATTTTTATTGCGCAATTACAATGAAGATTCAGACATCATCTTCTTCGTTTAATATTGACTTAATTTCACGTAGAAGAAAGTACACAAGTTATCCACCTTCTTGTCTTTGTCTTTTCTCTCTCTTGTATGTTTGGAGTTGTATCAAAAAGAATACTTTATTTCAAATATAGGACTTAAGAAGAAGAATTGATACATAACTTGCCGAATAAATGTCCTCCATTTCAGAAGTGATTGATCCTCGCCTAACAATTCACAACGGCAGAAGCCGAAAGGAACGTATAATTAAATAGAAATTTATCAACTGAAGCGTATGCGATTGAAAGAATTATCTAATGAATCACTCGATAGCATCCTGAGATCAGTGATAGAGTACGTCAATACTGTGATATTCAACAATATCAGAAATTTTCTTCACTTTTCTATATCCGATTTTCAGGTCATTGTAGTAAGTCAAATATATTTTGTCCAAATGGCTGGCTCTTTGAGTAAAGCATCCATCATGTCGGTGCTAAAAAATGATAAGGAGAACTTGAGTCATCTGGAAGTTGACATGTGAATATTCATACTCTACTTCGACATGTTTCCATTTCTAAGAGGCTCTGAAAACAATTAGAAAACAGAAAAAATTGACATAGTCTTCTGATAGTCACTGACAAATTTTTAAAGCAATTATATTCACATCAATAGTTCATTCGATGATCACAAAATATTCAAATTGTTAAAAAATTCTTCAAGACAAATATTATACGTTTTGAATACTTTGATATTTTTTCCTTCAGTAACAACCATCCTCAACTACAAATAGTCAAACATCGTGCATAAACCCATAGATGTGTGCAGGCGCTTCTCTCGGTCTGATCAGTATTGCAGGCAAGGAAGCAGCTCTGTTTCTAATTTTTCGACTCTATCAAATTCTATAATTTTAGAAGGTAAAATTCTTTGAAAACTACCACTTTCGTTGTGCAAGATAGCTGAAAGATGATATATCCGTTTATTAGAGTACGAAAATGACTCTAACGAAACAATACAGTAGACATCAAAAGTCTCGCACCACTATTTTTGTTTTGGCTAGCGTTTCGAAACTACAACACAGTTTCAATTTTTTTTTCTTCGAATAGTGGAGCTCAACTGCTATATATGAGTGAATTGCAACATTTTGGTACGATTTGACTACGCCACTGCCACTGAAAAGTTCAGCTCTCTAACTTGTACTGGTGCGGACTTATGGGTGTTATAATTTCAATCGAATGTCTCTCTACTCTTCCACCGTGATTGTATTCGTTTCGCATTATGGTTTAACAAGCTAAATTACTATTTATTCACTTTCAAACACATATTTTATAATATATGTTAAGAATCACTTTTGTTGCCAGGGTCCGAAGTGGACCAGGCCGGCGAACTTAAACGATATGTGAGTCACTCAGTGGCTCAACTGGCCCGGCACGGCCCATTTCGAGTCCTGTTTGTTGGATGTCATTCATCATGAGCAATAATATTCGCTATATCTTACAACTGGAATGCAAATTGGTTTGACATTTATTAATAAATACCGATATGCGTGCTGCACTCTCTGTTCGAAAGACAATAAATCAGTTTTTATGAGTGTTTTACGCAAAGAAATGATATCCCCAATAATGTAAAACATCAGAATGTTGACATCGTCTACCATGTAAAGAATTCGGGTGAAAAATCTTATTAGAACCAATTTTAATTGGAGTGTTCGGTGAAAATGTTTACATGGATAGTGGTTAGAATAAAATTAGAAATGTCAACATAGCTAATACCAATCCACATATGTCATGAGATTGCTTGAATTCGGACCAACGAAGACATGTGTAAATGAAGTTCTGTGTAGCATGAAGCCGAAATATTTTCAATACACATAAGTCGGCTATTATTATTGGAGAGCTACACTCGAATCTCCAAAAAAACTGTCTCAGACTTTAGGTGAAAATTCAAAAATGACTTTATCTCACTCATATTATCATTGCCATCAACTTATATTCAGTTAGTCCTTTGAAGTCCACAGAGTTTTTATCAGATCAACTGCTCTCAAAAATGATTCTACTCTTCACGTTGGCAGAATTCATTAAGATCCTTGAGTTTGTTATTTTGGTGCATCAGTGAAAATTGCATTCTATTGAGAAGAATCACCATGTTCATGTTTAACACTGTGAGCGTGTTTGAAGGGTTATTTTACTTCAAGCATTTCAACATATAAGTCTTCTTTTTTCAACAAAGTATTTCCGACACAATGTTTCATGCGACAATAGTTTTTGTAGACTACAGTTCGATGCTTTTGAGTCAAGCACACATTTTAATATTTAGTTATACATGCCCACCCAATTCACATTCCATGAAGCATTGGAAGCCTGGCTCATCAATATTGATGAAGGTGCGCCACCCATGGTTCTGGCATATACTGTAAAGGAACTATTTGAAGGTGAATAAATAGCAGTGTAACTCGTTAAAGACCAATGGCTATGCGATCCGGCCATGCTAGTAAAATACAGAGGCGTTCGAGTGAAATTACAACTGGTTGTATCGATTGTCATATAAATAGTATCATTGGAGAACGTTTGCCACAGTGTATACGATGAAATGCCAGTACATCTACACGATGATGTACACGATGTTTGACTGCTTGTAACTATGGTGGTGTTTGTCGTACTTGCTGAAACGATAGATATGTAAGTGCTCAAAATTCTTAGTGATAGTTTTGAGAAAGACGTCGATTTCTTTCGCGATTTCCTTGAAATAACCTTAACTAAATTTATTTAGCCAGAAATATATGAAGTAGAGCACAGTTTAGACTTAATCTTCATAATAAAAATGCACAGCCCGTAAACTTAGCGAATCTTATTTCTTTTTTCATTATTCCAGAACGAATCTGCTTTGATATTATTGCTTTCTTGACTACTACGTAAGATCTCACGAAGATTTTAACTTTTTTATCGAGTCATATAATTCAAATTGAGTGCGATCATTCTCGAAACATTGGAATTCAAGGGTATGACGTATATTTTGAAAGAACCTCACACAACAGACTTGAATTTCTCTAGCTTTGCTCGAAAAGCACTTCTCAACGTGACCATTTTCTTATTAGACATAGTGAGAACTTTAGTTCGGTTTCTATTGCATAGATTAATCTATGATTTTACTTATCCATTCAGACCATAAGTTATAGTGATTTTCGGTGTTACGCCGGCCGATTTACTAACCTGCTTTCTATGAGGTTATTGGTGTTAACATTATTCTATGTACAACCGTCATCGATCACACGATTTACTTGTTCTAATATTTTAACTGTCGCTCACGCTTTTATATTCCAAAGAAAGGTGTCTTTATTCAGACTGGTCCCGCTGCCACCAGATGGTTATGAGGGCACAAATAATAGTAAAATATTGAGCCTTCTAAATATAGATCAGAGAAGTAAAATGTGAAGCACATGCTAGTGATGCGCATTGTATATAATATCCCAGAGAGAAATAAGAAGAGCACTATTATTCGTACTGGGAATATTTATAAATGATTGGATCTGATTTAAGATCTCTTCTCTCGTTTTCGAAATCTTCTAAGCATGTTGGCAATATTATTTCTATCGCAGGTTGACAACTTATGATCCCAGCTCTGACAGGGTACTCATGCCCTGCAGGGCTTTAGTGCTAATATGCTACTAGTAGAATATTAGAAATTCATCCTTTATGATTATTTCTAATGAATAACATTTTCCTTCTTCACATATAGGATATATCGAAATCTAAGGGAGATCTATCTAATATGATATATTTTATGGAAATCTACAATAGCTTTTCAAGAACTAGTCTTTCTCTGATCATCTATATGTTGCTACGACTTTCGAGAACAAGAAAATCAAGATCATCGTATTCAAGTCCTCAAACGATTTATTCTTTTTCAGTTAATTTTTGAGAACACATTCAGATTGTACATAATCATAAATCATCATCAAGCTTTGATACATGAATTACAAACATATCAAAGTAAGCATTCTAGAAATCTAGTCATTCGAACGAGTACCTACTTGTCATTATAGTTGTCGTTGCTGCTGTTGAAGTGATACCAACAATAGTAGTTGTTGTTTCTCTAGTCGCTGCGATTGTAGCTAAAATATTCGTGAAGAAAAGAAAAAAGTAGCGAAACAAACATTTTCTAATTTATCGCAAGAACTAGATAACATTCTCTGTTAAAATCCTAGTTTTATAGATACGATTTTGTGAATGTGATCAACGATCTATTTTGAGAAATTGAGGCTCTGATGTATACTGCTCAGTACTATTTTTCATGATTCTGTAATCCTATGACGATCCATGAAAAACTATTTAAGAGAAATATTATGGTGATAAGATCTTATCATTCAATCAAGTTGCTTGAAAGAAGTGATCTCGTCAAAAAGTAGCACAATACACTCTAAAAAATTTCGAAACTAGATTAGTTTCCGAATTTTTCCTAATATCTTTGATGGTTATTTGAGTTTCGAAAGCTGCGAATTAAGTTTTTCAAAGAAAATGAAACTGAGGACGAAGTCTTTGAATTAACATAGTTCGGTATTAATTTATGCTATCATCATCGCTTTTAACTATCTCAGATGGTAGACTTAGACTTTTAGATAGATGAAATTAATATTATTGTTTTGGTCTATCTTAGATGATATTTCTGTGTGTTAAGATTGAAAAGGGATCGGGTGGAAAAAAAACTGAGGACAGTAAGATTGAAAAATTGACAGCGTATTGTATAACCTGGTGGAGTCGAATAATATGGCGTTGTTGGAGATTTTACTTAACTGATAGTGGGTTCTGAGGGCCTCGGAAACCAAAATTGGGCTACCAAAAATACAGATTTTTTTAGAGCGCAGTTTATCAAACTGTCATTACTTTTCTCTCGAGTATCCTTAAAATCAATAAGAAGTCATGATGATGTGGATCTTATCTACTCAAATGCAAGCAATCGAATGTATTCTGCTCATGAATCAATTCCTTCCGTCCAAGCATTAGTCTTCATGCAGTGATTTTTTCATAGGACGAAGCTAGTATTCATTGGGAGCATGTTTTGTTAGTTTAGAATGACACGAACAGACATGCTGGACACTAATACTTTTTTCGAAAGTGATATTCAGTATGGACACAAAATTTATTTGTATAAACGTCAACTGAAAATCTCATCATGCGCGGTGAGCTGTAAGGCATACAGGACAAAATTTTGAAATTCCTAATCAATATCGTCGTTCAGTGAAATTTTTCTAGTGACACAGCATTTGGTAGTAAAATTATGTATTTACATGAAGAATTCTGGAAAATAACACTGAGTCCCATAGCAATTGCCACAGCAGTTGCTGTACCGAAAAATGTAATCGCGAAAATTTTGAGCGCTGTCATGCATTGTAAGCTGCTACCAGGAGACCTGTTAGAAAAGAATGATGTGGCTTAAGGTGGATCATTTTCTATTTCCTACTTTGTTTCAGATGGAATGGTCTTGATTGTGTCAAGTTGAACGTTTACTTCTTGACGAATAGATGGTGATACCGGTGATGGACGAAGTTGCCGTCCATACTTCATAGAAATGAATTCATTTAATAACAAAACAACTAATTAGACCTACTGATCTTTCAGTCCGCGTATATGTTGGGATGTACTTTCTCCTTAGTATTGCAGTACTAGCCGCCATATTCGAACAAATCTTGACGGTCTCGGCTAGCTTGTACTATTGATTATTGGATAACAATCTGAAAGATGAAATATTGCATGCAAGAGAACAAATGCAAACAACATTTGTTGTTTTTCTTTTAACTAATGTTTATTCATTCCTTGCACAAACGATTCAAGAGAAGAAAGCATATTTTAATGACAATGCATTTCTTTCTCGTCTAAAGCAAAACCATACAAGATATAATGCCTTTCTCATGTTGACAGCCAGTAATGCTCGTTTAACTTGAACAAGAGTAAAGCAATTACATGAGGTTGAAAACAACAGATTATTTTAACTTGCTACTAACTTTTAAGAATGAAATCGATTTGTGAAAGCAATAGTCGATATTAACTTGTTTAGTAAAACATGTGAGATCATGCATGACTCTGATGTTTATAGATACCTGCATGAACTGATAAGGGAAGTACCCGAGGTGTCCAACTCCGTTTTGATTCATTCATATCTCATTCGACAGAGCATATTGAGATAAGAAAAATCCTAAAAGGGTTTGGGCCCATGGTCCTTCTTTCAACAGTTATGGCTGTTTTGCTAAATTTTCGAACCATTCCTAGGTATTTATCAGAGAAACTAAATTAATCCACATATAGATCCAATGATCCTTAGAATATCCTGAAAGTTTTAGCCAAAAAAGAATGTTCTCTTCTCGAGATATTGATTTATCAAGTGAACTCAGTTTTTGTGACCTCTCTGTGGGAAGCGACTATTTTTTGTGAAAAATCGATATCTCGAGAAGAGAACATTCTTTTTGACTGAGACTTTCAAGATATTCTAAGGAACATTGGATCTATATGTGGGCAAACTATCTTGGGTGGGTGTGTGGGGGTGACTTTTTATAGAATCGATTCAAAGCCTTATACGATGCGTTTCGACTATTGTGCAAATAGTCATCCGAAAGTGTAAAACAAAATGTTGGTTATTCCATAAAAATTACTAGATTTTGTTTGAATACTAGAATAAGTGAAAAAGATTTACAGAATTATAGTCAAAAATCGTTAGTCATATTGCTGTTAGCGTCAACAGATGTTACATTGTTGCCGCTAACCTTTTTCCTTCTTTTCGTTCTCCTTTACGTAACCTATGTGAGGTTCGATGTTTCCCAACATATGTATATGTCTATATTATTCATTTTTCTTCTTTTTCGTTCTTTTTCTCTCTCTCGTTCAGCTTTATGAACAAGATATTTTCCCCAGTTTTCAGTTGATTATTTTTTGTTATCGTGATCACTCGTATTTCATCATTAAATATATATTCATTATCTGGACTTATATTATCTTGTCGGTTATATCAATTTACTAGTTAAAGTAGTATTACTAACATCACTAACCTAGCTAATACAGATCGCAGTTTTCTATTGATTCCTTCCGGCCTATTAACATTTAGTGGGTAGAAGATTTTGGATTAAATAGAAAACTAACATTTTTGGTGGAGAAGTTGGGCAAACTTTATTCGGTCTGTATTAGTTCCATTAACTATGCGCCTATAAACTTATCTATATAATCTAAAAATTTCTTTCCGTTGTATTCAATTAATTTAACAGCGTGTATTATTAATTGAATCAGGCTATATCGATCTGTTGGGTATTTTCACTATCACGTGACTAATTTTTTAAATACAAGGATATATAAGACGTCCTCGTTGAATATCTTGAGTAATTTAAGACGCCCTTGTTGAATACCTCGAGTAATTCATATATCTCATCATCTCCTATTTAAATAAAGATATAAAAAATGTCTGATTCTGAATCGACAATGGAACCAACACGTCCAGAAACGATTGATGAGGAGTCCTTAATAGAATTAACCGAAAGTAATCCAAATTTCGACAATCTTATGATCGACAAAAAACGTCGACAATCTATTGTACCTCTTTCCCATGAATCAAAATCAGTTGTTGCAACAAAGGTCTCTGACCTTGAATCGAATAATGGTGATAATGAGGGTGAAGATGAATTTGATTCATTTATCCTTAAAAACTTTAGCCCGTTTTCAGGATCAGAAAATGAAATCGATTGGTTAGATAACACCGATAAAAAATTTAATTTACATAAAATTTCACATAATCTTCGTTATGTGGCTATACCTTTACTTGTTGAAGGAGATGCTAAAAGAAAATATTTTCGAAATAGAAATAACATAAAATCATACGACGGCTTTTATGAATTTCTTTTGATTAACAATGATGTAACTAAACCTAATACACGTCGTTTTCCACATAATCCACCATCGTATTCATTAAATCAAAATAATTTTACACATAATCCGTTAACACATAAAAATATATCGTTCGAAGATCAACAAAAAAGCACCACGAATAATTTTGATTCAACTGATAATTTGCCACCACGTCCTTCTTAAGATCAGCAGCGATTGTTGATATTGGAGCCACCAGACTATCTGGTGATGAACCCGAAAATCGATCAACCATCACACCTCCTTCGGTGTGGGTGTGGGTGAGAGTGTATTTCAACCAGACACCCACACCCACACCCCACACCCCACACCCACACCCACACCCACCCACATCCACACCGACACCCACACCCACACCCACACCCACACCCACACCCACACCCACACCCACACCCACACCCCACTCTCCCACGCCCACACCCACACCCATCCACACCCACACCCATCCACACCCACACCCACCCACACCCTGTACATTCCAATCGTCAATCGAAGATCTACAAATTGTGAAACATTCAGATGTTTAAGTTTAATTATTCAGGAATAATATATATTCTAGTCGAACCTCTAATACGATTTTCTAGAATTTTGTTTTTCTTTTTTTTCATAAAAAAAGCATTTTTTCAAGGGTTAGAAAATTGAATAAAAAAACTTCAGAAATTGTATTAGAAAAAGCTATAATATACGATTCGATACATCTTCATCTCTTCTTTGAGAGTTTGGGTGTAGGTGTCTCTTTGATCGTTACCCATATCCACCCACACCCTGTATTCGGACTTTTTCGTCGCGTTTCTATCTTGCATTAAAAACAGTTTCTAGTCAAATATCGTGACTGTTGGAAGAATAGATTGCTCGACATGAGTTATCGGATAACTTCCATTCGAAAATTCATCATGTTATGTAAATTCTTTGACTGTCTTATAAACCCTCTCTTAAATGTTTAGAATCATTATTCATTATTAAAAAATCTTATACAGAAGCTCAACTTTTATTAAAAATAAGTGATCATTTATCTGTACTAGATATAACTGAAGTTACATAAAAAATTATTTCAATATAAATCAATAATCCTGCTAATTGCCAACATTACAATGTACAATTGACTGAACCCAATTTATCAGTTGATAATTTAATGAGACAAGAATTTGGACAATATTTAGATAATCAATTATTACGAGGAGCCCTCCTTACAAAAACCATTTTTTTTCGAAAAAAATCGATGTTGAGATTTTATCATAGGAAGATGTGCCGAAGTCTCCTCTTTCAGAATATGTATGCCTTTTTTCAAAAAGGCCAGGTTTTAATAAACTTACCAACGGAGATTGGAGCCCTTTCACCATGTTTTATCGAGACATTTTCGGAATTTTCGGAAGTTTTTCGGTGTTTGAAAGACATTGCTTTTCTATTTTAACATACTGTATTAGAAAAACAAAATATAACATAAGATGCAGTGTGAAAAGCTGTACAATTTATAAAGAACAGCTGATTTTATATATGCGTCTTTTATTTTCAAAACGGACAAAATTCTGAAGATATGCCATTTTAATGTTTTTTTTTCGAATTTCTATAAAAAAATCCATTTCTAAATTTTTTTATCGTTTTTCTCAGAACATGGTTTCCAGGCAGAAAAATTGATATGATCCCCTCCCAGTTCCGGTTATATCCAATATTGTTTTTTTGTTTTAAAGGTCTAAACTAGGATAAACTTTTGTCCGACCAAATTTTTTATAGTTGGTTTCTGAACTGAGAAAAGTGGAATTCACTGTCGTCGGATAGCCACTTTTTATGCTGATTTGCAGATTCTGTCATCAAAAATGTTCATAAAAAATGAATAAGATTGAATTTCAAAATTCTATTTGGACAAAAGTTGCGCACTGACATCGGCTTTAATTTAAAAGCTGTCCGAGCGCTATAGCACGTGCCGCAACGGCGTTATATCGATTCCAAAAATGGGTTATGAGTCAGCTGGAACTTCGGCCTAGTCCGATTTATACAGGGTTGGAAATAATATTATTCCAAGAGTGTACCGCTATAGTTTCAAATAGAAGACATAATGAATTTTATATCAAATGAAAGCCCGTCAAAAACGGAGTTTATTGGTACTAAATAGTGAAGATTATGAAAATCTTTTAATATTGAACTGAAGAAATTTTCAGAAATTTTATACCTTTTTTAGTGTGGAAAATTAAGGAGTGGGTGTGGGTGGATGTGAGGTGTGGGTGAAGAGGAAACTGATATACATACCCGCACCACGTCTATACCCATACCCTCACACCCACATCCGCATTCGCAACCACATACCTACACCCATACCCCACATC